TATACATAAATCATCGAGTATTGGATTGCTCATAATCTCTCTCTCTCTCTCTCTCTCTCTCTCTCGTGTTAGCTTATGCCTATTTACACGTGTTACTGAGAAAACTGATTACAAACTATTCACATTTTTAATTTCTATTAATGAGATAAATCAAAAATCTAATCCATATCTTATTCATACGTACATAAAAATAAATGAAAACTGCAAATAATCAAAATAATACTAACCATTTTTTAATTTATTCGAACAATTTGGTTGTTCTTCGAATCTGATTTCATCCTCCTCATTCTCGCTTAACACTATTACACTTTCATCCATGCTAACTGAAATAATAAACAACCATAATAACTTATCGTATAATCAATTCAATTTGTTTACATGACAGAAAGAAGTCAGCTAACGTGGAATTAGACGTAAGCTAACACTAACGTGTAATTAGACGTACGCAAACACGTGTAATTAGACGTAAACTAACACGAGAGAGAGAGATTATGAGCAATCCAATACTCGATGATTTATGTATACGATTAATATTAAAAAAAAGACAATTCTAACTAACGTGTATCTCAGCGTACGTGAACGTGACAGCAAGAGACAGAGAGAGGAAGAAGTGAGAGAGAGAAAGAGAGGGAATAGGAAGAAAGAAAAACCGGAAATGAATTCTTTCATAAACTCGCGCTCAGACACGAAGTTGTATTGCTGTTGCAGCACTGTTTACGCTTAAAACATCAATGTTAATTTTTGATGTGATTTAATTCAATTTAATTTGATGTAATTTAATTTGATATGATTTGATTTGACTTAATTTAATTTAATCTAATTTAATTTAATTTGCCTGATTCGATTAATCGAATTAAATTTAATTCGATTAAGTTTAATTCAAAATTTATTACAACCATTCTTTTTTTTTCGTGCATTTGCCTAATGATATGATTGGAGAAAAAAAAAGAAAATTATTGAAATATTTGAAATTTTATGAAGCGTTCTTTTTCTTGTTGTTGTTATTTCTCAAAACAATTCAATTAATGCTGTACTATGAACTTTGCATATAATATAAATTTATAAATAAAAATTGAGTATAAATTAGTTATTTATGATTATTGATTTTTTTGGCAACGATTTTTTTCACTGATAACGATAATTGTTGGAGTGACAGTCTTACTTCCGGTAATTTCTACCTGTTCAATAACATTTTTCAATTCATTCCGGAGGAAATACGTGGGTAAAGAATAAAATCTGAAATAAAAAATGGATAATATTAGAATGAAATACTCGATAAATTACTTATAAAAGAGATTGATCCAGCAGGTCGAGTTCAGGGACGATAGGCTAAAGTGAAAAGAAATAGTGATATGGCTAATCCGATTACTCCAGAAATTTGATTAAATCTATTTCATTTTATCAGTTAATCAATTTATTGTCGCTCTTCAACATTAGCAATTTCTTAATCAATCGATAGATCTGCAAATCGTTTAATTACACAATTAAATTATTTAATTAATCAATTTGATCAGTGCATAAATTTGATCAACTTAAATCTATCTCTTATTTATTTTTGTACTGCTTTATTGCGTATACACATGAATGAATCATTTTTGATGGAATATTTAAAATTGAAATGAATTACAATAAAAATTTAACTTTGCTAAAAAAATTACAAATTTGCAATTTCAAAATGTAAATGGATCTTAATTTATCCGGCATAAAAGCAGTTATTTGGTATGTAAATGTTCAGTGTTTAATTATCATTTTTCATCATTTGCATGAAAGGTTTATGATTGAAATTAAATAATAAAAATAATTTCAAATGGATTATTTTAGAGAGTAAATTTAATTGTAATTAATTAGAAATGACTAATGGAAAAAAAGGCGTGAGTTAGCTTTATTCACATGAAAAGTTATTCAATTGCATAATTTCTCTCTCTCTCTCTTCTTATTTTTTTGTCATTTATTTAAACTTAGAATTTATTCTGCATTTTAATCAACTCTCCCTCTGTACTATGATTGCGCTAATTTTAGAGGACAAAATCTCACTGTAAATAATTGATTACTTAATTTATATCATAGATTGAGTATAACAAAACTTGAATCAAAAATTGAATTATTTCTTTGAAAAATTTGAATCAAAAGTTTGAATCAAAAATTGAATTATTTCAGATGTATTGGCGTCAAAAGCGACAGCTCGCATCCTCACATATAATTATTGGGCGAGCAGATTGGAAAACATCAAATTATGTGTCAACAACGAAGTATAATATTATCACATTCTTACCCATATTTTTATTTTATCAATTCAAGACATTCGGAAATTTGTTCTTTCTTATGATTTGTATCGTACAGGTTGGTAAAATTATTATTATCTTCTTTGCTTAACATTTTATTGTGTTAGCATTTCTATGTTTAAATTTCTAATTATTTAATTGTCAATATTTCTTCTATTAAAAGGATGAAAAATGAAAAAAAAGATGCCGATAATTAATTATTTATTTAATTTCTCCAAATAATTTACATATTTATCGATTGTTTATTTATTTGTTAGCTAATTTAGTTGTATATATTGATAAGTAATGATAAATGATTGCTTCAAATTTATCAAACAATGAGCTCAATTAAGAATTTTCTTCTTCATCGGATAACATTGTTATCTGATATATCAATGCAAAGAATGTTTTAGCTTTTAGGACAATATAAATATTAAATAAACTTATTGAACTAACAGAAATTTGAGTAATTGATTTTGTTATTGAGTATATATTTATTTGGCTAGTTCCATTCATAATGATTGTATACGTAATTTCTTTATTGTGGTAGCAATTTATTTGTTTATTCTTTTGTTTTTTGAAATAATTGCAATAATAATATTAAATCATTACGTAATACTTTCCACGTCTTTCTTCTCAAATTTTAGTTTTTTCCAAATTTAAATCCATACGGTACGAATACAACTATTATACCACTTGTTATTATCATTCTCGCAGCTGCAGCAAAAGAAATTTTCGAAGATTTCGTAAGATCACTTTGATTATTCCTTTGATATTATCAATACTTCGCTTGTTGTCATCTCATATTTCTTTAATATTACTAAAATATTGCTAATATTTAATTTTGTCATAATCTCAAGGTACAAGTTAATTAAAATATAATAATTATTTTGTTTATCTTTACCTTTTCCCCTATCTCACATTCCTTTTTCTTTTCTTTTTGTTCAATTAAAATTACTGTAAGGGCGAAAATTATTGTCATTACAATAAATGTAATAGGAATTTATTTGCTTTTTTCTGGTTAAATAACTGTTTTAAATTTTGTTAAAATTTGAAGAGACGTTTGGTAGCGGATCGTCGTGCAAATCGACAATTTGTGTTAATTTGTAAACAAGATGAAAAAACACAAAATTGGAAATGGGAAAGGATTCATTGGGCTCAGGTTTTACTTTAAATTATTCATTTTTATCGGTACATTATAAATTTTTATAGCTAAATTATCTTTTTATATCAAATATTAAAATTTTTTTAAAACTTTATATGATGATGTGCATTAGAGTGAAATCTTTGTTGTATTGAAAAACAGAAATTGAGACAATTTAACATTTCCTTTACGAAAGAAATACATCAAGAATTTTAT